GAGCGAGCGGCCCATTGCGCGATAAGAGCACCCGAGCAACGAGGTTCGAATTTATTGATCTGAGGAGCCGGGAGAGGGACAGGTGAAGCTGCAGCCGGAGCTGTTGTAGCTGTTTCAAAAGAACCAACTTCCGGAGGAGATGCTAGAATGGCGAACAATACACGGGGTTTCTGAGTTTCGGAATTATCATTGGGTGCCTTGATTTCTTCGCTTGCATGTTGAACTTCCCATTTGGCACAACAAATGGTACGCCTGACCCACTCTGGGCAAGAAGCAGCAGTAACTCCCACAGGTAAATCCTTGAAAGGAATTTCGTCCCACAAGACAAAGGCATCGTCTCGCTGAACACGGATGCGAGGGTTCAACCCGACTTGAGCCTCTAAGATTCGAGAGGCAGTACGGGCACGTTGAGCCAAAGGTGAGGTGCCCTTCTTGAGCAGGTCGAGGGTGTTGAGTGCTATGGCATCAACAGAATGTTGAAGTCAATATGAGAGGCAGAGGAAGGTAGACGCACCTTCGAGGGGGACGATAATAACTTCCTCTCTCCCATCCTTGCACCACTTCTTCACTTGTCCGATTGCATGTACGAGTACGCTGGCGTCAACAACAATAACGTCCGCGTCCTTCTCCTTGATAAGCTTGCTGGTATCTTTCTTGACTACTTCAGGTTTCTTCTCCAGCGCAGGGAACTCATCTTCACCCCTCTTCGCAACTTTGATGGTGGGCCCAGACGGTGTTCGGGGTTTAGGTTGAGGATAGTTGTTGGGACCACGCATAGAGTCGGCGTTAGCCTGTGGAGAGGGATAGCGGCGGTCCCTCCATGGACCACCGTTCGTCTTCGCCGAGACGGATTTCTCGAGTTGTTCGACTTGATGGTTGAGAAACGCAGCGCCTAATGCACGGGACATTGCCATGCGATTCGCTGTGGCGATAGAGCCCTGCATGACGAAGATAAGAAAGAGATGAATACGAGGAACAAACAAGAAAACACCGGACCTTCTTGTCGGACATGGTGGAGGTAGCGGGGAGAGGAAGGATGGCCAGTGTAGGCTGGTACTTGAGGAAGACTCAGAACGGAACTCAGCCCCAGCTTATGTAATCACTCCCAGCCTTCATTTTCCCGCTTTCGGCGTCTTCCGCTCACGCTGTGGTCACAGCTCCCAGCTTCGCCACATCTGACTCTTGTTTGAGTCAGCAGCGAACCGAGAGGACGTCGTAGAGTCACGGTGGAAATCATTGTAATTTTCGTGACTTGCTGACGGACTTCGAGCGAGGACACTGTTCATTTGCAGTCAAATGTCGATGTCTTATTCAGTTATGGGCCAGGTGCAAGGTGGAAATGTGCAGGTGTGGATATTCTACGGAGAGGGGTCAGTTCAAGTTTAACGATCGATTCATATCAAAGGGGCGAACATTATGGGGAGATCAGAAATTCAAACTGCTGAGACCCTGACTGGTCCACATACAACCGTCTCACCTCTTTGACACTCTAGACAGACAGAACCGGAATAATGATTCGGGGTGTTGTTGTGACACTTGGGCAGGCAGGACTCCGACACCGAAGGAGGCGACGTTGAAATGAAGGCCAATGTGACTGCAATCCATGTTCCAAACTTCAAAGACCCGCCGTTTGACGAGGTGTATGCTGAATCAGTGGTAACGAGGTAAAATACGGCTAGTGAAAGAGTTCGTTTAGCGATATGGTTATGTAGTGATCTAATCGCACACTCACAAAATCACGCACAGTCTCAGCAATGTCGTTACAGCATATATTGCACAATGTAGTGTATGCTGAGATTAATTCTTGCGAGAAAGTGAAACTTACCGAACCAAGATGTCATGATAGGAGATCATCGATCATCGCGCACAAGGGGTGAGGAAATGTCAACGAATTACTTTGAAGTCTTTGCTGAAGCAGCCGACTGTTCTTGTAATTTCATTTGCATTACATTCACCAAGTAGCTCATGTTGTCCTGCTTCTTCTGAACCATCTCCTGTAGGTTCTCAGCGTTGGACTGAATGAAGTCCACTTTTGCTTGATAATGCTTGACAGCCTCGGCACGAGACTAGACGGACAAATATCAGTCTCAGGAGAGTACATGCATTGCGCGATCGCACATACCTTCTTCACATAGTATCCTGTACCAACATCGACAATGACGTTCTCGAGATCGCAGAGCTTCCCTGGAACGTAGAGGGAGTTGGTTAATGGAACGAGAATGACCTTGTCTGGGCACGAATGATATATCAGTCTCCAAAGGGCAGCTGAACATGCTATCTCGCGCACCCTTATTTTGCGGTCTTACTTCTGCGACATTCTCTATACAAGCCTTGAACTTGGCCTGCGCTTGCTTGAGTTGTGTGAAGGAATTGGTCAGATGGGTGAGTTCCTACAATGCAAGTGACTGAATCAGTACACGATGGCCTCCCGGATCGCACCCACGCACATCCTCCAACTGCCGACGCACGTCAGACAGCTGCGATAGATCCAACTCCGCCAGGTTGATCTGTTGAGGTTGAGCGTTGGCCATTCCTCCGTCGTCGTTGCGATCGTCGTAGCGGTTCAAGACAATCTCAGCCACAGGCGCCCAGTTTAGCGAATCAAGCAAGCGAGCGGGTCACCAGACGCCATCCATCTTCACCACAGACGACGACGACCCCCGCAGCGGCGGTCTTTCCCTGCTCTATCTGCTGCGTTTTGCAGCGAGAGGCGTCCATTTTCTTGTAGAAGGCGGCGGAATGGCAATCTCGGAGGAGAGTGTCCCTCAGGACGTTGGTGAGCACGGAGCTAGCCTGTTCATTCTCTCTTGACTCTAACTCCGCAACCTACCGCCACAGTCGCCATATTCCACACATCCTTTCATCCTACCCAAGGCAATATAGTTGATTGGTCTCTGAAAGCTAGTGATGGTGTGTGTTGCAGCACTATTCCTGGACCCTTGTCTAAATATAAAGCAAGATTTGGATATCACACATGTTGAGTTCAGTTGTCTCCCGAGTGGATTGCATTTGGTGGAACAGGATGTAATGTGCGTGTCTTTCTTGCTTGTAATGCATACGTGTGTTAACCACTTTTATTACGCTACATAGTTATTTCACCAAGGGCGACCATCAGGGTGTATGCGTCTTCCAGCGGAGACGCACAACGGAAGATGGTCACCGTGGCTTTCGCCTATCCTCTCTAGGGATTCTCCTGGCAAAATCAGCACGTCCTCGGCCTTGGAGGCACGTTCCGTCACTTAAAGCTGTTGTACACGCCATATATTCCCGTCTAGAAGACCGGGACGTCCTGGAGCCTTCGGAGAGTGATTGGGAACCTGCCCGTCTATTCTTTGAGGAGCGGAAAGTACAACGGTCAGACTTAGGAGGAGCGGGGGACTGGACTGGGTGGAGTGCAGAGCTTGATGGCACGGAGACTTCGACATTCCAGACCAGTCCGACGCTGCACCTCCCCCACATGCTCAGGATACTTGGACCTTCCTCACTCACCTTGTACAAGCACGTGCTAGGACGGCAGAGAGTTCTCATCTATACTGCGCCACCAGTGGAGGCCGCGTGCGTACTTTGCCAGGTTGCTGCGGATATTTGCTATGACGACCAATTCGACGGGAACGACCTTCCCACTCCTGACTCACCCCGCCCAGGTATTGCCACGGGTGGTGGTGAACGTCAAGACGTACAGCCACGACTGAAGAGGAAATCTAAAGCAGGCGTCAAAGTTCTCGGGATGGTCACCCTCAACGACATCGACAAACTTGTGCAAGAGAGTAAGACGGGCCGCGGGTGGATTGCGTGCACGTCAGACGCTATTTATCTAGAGAAACCGTCATATTATGACCTCATTATTGACCTTACGACCGCATCCGCATCTGGGCGGACCACACGACCCACCCTGTACATCCCCAAACTCATTCAACCGCCTGTCTCCCGTGGCCCGACCCATCGCCTATCCGTAATTCGCTTTACTTGGAGCGATGTCAAACTGGTAAGTCTATTTTTGTGCGATTTAATGTAAGAGCAGAAGTCTCAATTCAGTGATATTTCAGTGGTCAGAACTTGACCGCCTAATGCGACTGGACAATGGCAACCCCGACTCACCATGCTGCGATCCGACATCGCCGGACCAATACTCTCGATCCCGCCACACCCTTGGCGCAGCGTGGTCGGATATGTGGCGTGTTTATGAGGACGTCTGTGTTCTCTGTGCAGGGCTTTGGATAGGGTCATGGCGGGCAACGTCACCCTCCGCACACGGTCTCTCAGAACCACGATCTGAGAACTGGGGTAGCATTCGTCTGGGAGGAGAAGACTACCTATCTCTCCGTTCGGAGGCGGACAGTGCGTACGTTCGGAACGTCGGGATGGGCATTGAAGGACGGCCCAGCTCCTCCTCCGATATTGGCATCTTGCACCACAGACCGTCCCGACATGCACGTCGATCCAGTGGGATGTCCATGTGGACGTGGGCAAGTGGGAAGAGCTCAGCGGTGTCTCCGAAGGATGACATCATTGACGAAGGGGAAGTTATAGACCCAGACGTACAAGGCCAGCATGAACGACAACTCATGACCACGTTGGCTATCCTGCATGCGTTCCACAAGAACACCACCGCATTGCTCCTCCGCCTGGCTCAAGTTCTCCCAGCAGCTTCATCAGAGCCTTCAGATGTCGCTGACAGCTCAACTGCCCCTCACATTGTGCTCACTCCCAAAGACGTCTTGATGTTCAAACTCGGGCCTCTGAGTTCTTTGGATCAGCGATTCGTAGAGTGGTTGGCTGAGGAGTACGGTGGAGGCGTCCGCTTGGTCGTGCGGCGGGGATGGAGTGAGTTGGTAGGTCTTGTCCTGGGCTTTGGGTAGAGTATTTCACCCAGAATGCGGACGTTATGTTGTATGATGTTAGTTCTCTGTATGTAGCAGGATCATCGTGAAGTATTGGATTTTAGATGCCCAATCCTTTTACATCGTATTCTCAATATATCTAGAGGGATAACAAACATGTCCGATATGGTGTAACGGCTAACATTACCGCCTTTCACCACGAAGTGGTAGTTCGCGGTAGCTCGGGGTTCGATTCCCCGTATCGGAGTACTTTTTTGCGCCTTCAACTACTGGTGCCTTCGCAGTGTGCATATCTCCTAGTACTAGTACTACTATAGCCCCCTCATCTGTCAAAAATGACTCAGTATCGTCTCGAACTCTGTTTAGGGACCAGGACCGGAATACACACTCTCTACACCACCCTCGGCCTTTCAAAAAGGAAAAGGGACATTCGTACGAACATCTCATCTGCATCCGCCGGGAGTCGAACCCGGAGCTAGGCCATGGGAAGACCCAATGTTACCGCTACACCACGAATGCTTATTTGGTGTTGCATCAATTTATGTGATGTTGACCGATTCCGATGAAGGCCAAATGCATATGGGAAGGCGCTCCAGACGACCTCTGTCTACGTGAATGAGAGAAACAAATACATGTTATGCAGGTATGTATGTTAATATGGTACTTGAACAAATTGCACAGCGATGGTAATTATGGGATGATGCAGGAGAAGTCGGATCGGGAACAGCTGGAACTGGAACTATGATGGCCTGAGCACAGAAGGATGCAGTTGAGGTTGAGTCGATAATGGGCTGGAATGCAAGGTTATCAAGGACGGTAGTCGGCAAAGTATGGGTGAATGAGGGCCCGTTTGGCTAGGACACTTGGATGAGCTACTGTACAGAGCTAAAACTCAAGAAAACATACCAGAAATCCGTTTGGCAGTGTCGTAGGTAAGGAATAGCTAGGAAGAACGGGACTTAAGCGGAGGATCGTTGAGTATAACAGTGATTGTTACCTTGAGAAGATCGAGGCCATCCTCAGTCAGGGATGGGACATGTCGACCAAGATCTTGTGCACTCCATTGAGGGAAGGACGGTTTGTAGTCGGGCAATTGACGAACACCAGGCCAGACATCCTCATTCGGTGTGCCGAGCACTCTGAAGCACGAGCGAGTAAATTCTTTGCGTCAAGTGTACGTCGAGACTACTCACCTGAAAATCTTGAAAATCTGGTCGATCTCCGAATCACCAGGGAAGAGGGGGTGTCCTCGCATAACCATCTCGGCGAAGATGCAACCAACTGACCACATATCGATAGCCGTTGAATAGTGACGCGAACCAAGCAGCACCTCAGGAGCGCGGTACCACAGCGTTACAACCTAACATCAGAGAGCATGCACGAGCAGCAAGGATCTGTCAATCAACCTTCGACTGAGGCGGTGAGTAATTGACCTACCTCGTGGGTGTAAGTTCTCATGGGAATACCAAACGCCCTGGCCAAGCCAAAGTCAGCAAGCTTCAGATTGTCGTACTTGTCAATGAGCAAATTCTGAGGCTTGAGGTCACGATGAAGGATTCGATGTGAATGACAGTATAAGAGGCCCAACGTAAGTTGGTGAGTGAATTTCTGGACATAGAACGTTAGTACGGATATCTCACGGAGAAGTATCAACGCATGGAACGGCCGAGTCCATGAGCAGAAAATCAATTTCAGTTGGCCTGAGTCACGTGACTGCCACTGGGGCTGGTGGTGACATCACTGTGAACGCGTCAGGACGCGACAATCCTCTCGTGTACGCGTCAAAAATGCAGTATAATATGCGCAGCGAAAGAAATTGCGGAAACAAATAGATTGTGTTGTTGCAGCGTACCTTGACTATTTCCAAAGAAAGGGGATTGCCTGATTTGTTCCCATTGTCCATGTATCTCTTGAGATCGACATCCAAGAATTCGAAGACCAAGTAGAGCTTCTGATCCGCATGAACGATATCAAGGAGACTGGGCCAGGGAAGGAAGCGGGAACGCGGCGTCTGGTCAACGTCGGGCGACAACACGGATTTATACAGGATGAGACACACCGAACAATGTGGTCATCCTTCAACTCTTTCAACAAGCTGATCTCCCGGATGGCAGTACTGGGAACACCCTCATCCTCTGCCTCTAGTCGGATTTTTTTGAGAGCGACGACCTCATTTGTGGTGACATCTCGTGCCTTGTACACGACTCCATAGGTACCTGTGATCGATGAAACAACACCATGGCATCATCGAAGATATCGTCACAGTATTATTCGGCGATCTGACTCCTATGCGACTATTGCCACTTACCCTCGCCTATGTATCACAAAAGTGAGGGGAGAACGACGAAACAAGGAAGAAAATAGAGCACTCACCAACTTTCTCGATCTTGGAGTAGCTGACAATAACACACCAAAGTTGGATTTGGTGAGATGTTCAGAGAGCGTGGAGAATAGAGAGCTGACCGGTCCATTTCCTGGTGCAAAGAGGGGTGCTTGAGGTCGACGGCGAGGTGGGCGGTGGCGAAGGCTTGATGCTTGTGTGAGGATATCCCTTTGTCGTCGATGTGCGCGAGGGCGGGAAAAGTGGGGAGAGCGGGGAATGGCTTGGCCTGAAGTACGAAAGGACGAAGGGATGGACGTCGTTTCGCAAGAACAATTGACTACTTATACGCATCACGTAATCGATGGGTGGTCTCCCCATTATGGCAATCTGAATTCATCCTCGCACCGGTTACAACGCCGTATTCACTCCGAAAAATATTATGTGGCATCCTCAAAGGAGCTCGGAGAAATGGGTCCTTTGATCCTCACAGTACCAACGTCATGTTTATTTGTCCTGCATCCCCATAATCCTCCTAGTACCTCGACCTAGACCTCTCAGATAAACCCTTCAGATAGATTACCACCTCACATGCCCAAGTTGAGGGTGGACTGTATTACCGAGCCACAGCATATGAAACACAACCGTCCAAGCTTGCCTCTTGCCTTTCACCCCTCTGAGTCTATCACTGGTGCCATAGAAAGTGTTTCACCATTGAGAACTTCAGTCGTTTTCATGATGCCGCTGGTAAGAGCTTGGAGAAGCTTCAGGAAGTGTGTCGTGAGCCATCCCACGGACGGCCGTGTACTATTTGTGAACCATTGATCATTGCATGGTATAGTACGGCATTGATGAAATAATCCTGCCGCAGTCTCAGATGATCAGTGTGTGCTTGAACCCTACACTGACAGAACGCACCTCCTATGCATGACTTGCGTCTTGACGTTCGTATAATGGGAGAGTGATGGGCACCATAACAACTGCATCAAAATCACAGCCACCCAGTTAGAGCTATCGGAACTTGTTTACGAGCGAGATATACAGGTGAAGCTTAAGAGAAGGATGGGTTTTGGGACAATAACCTGGAGCCGAGGTTGAGGGATCTGAACCGTAGATAACATGGATTGTGAGCACAGCGAAGCTCCATGAGATCATACCTGACATGCGGAACCCTGGAATACCAAGATTCCCGACGACAGCAAGCACTGACGCCTTTCAAGGTACGTAGTCTGTCAAACGGTCATACGACTTGGTAATATCATGGCTCTATGACGGCCTTAACGTTGTGGATACCGACGATCCCCACCGACTAGAGATCGCAGGTGCAAAATGAGGGAACTGTAGCGCCAAGGACGTTAATAAACGAACAACCGCGGTCGAAACATCAATTGACTGACATATGCAATCCCTCCAGGAGGGCCGATGCCACAGAGAAAGCTCACGGTGAGATTGCTGGTCACGTCGCGCCGACAGACACAACGGCTGCAGTGGATACGTGGCGCAGTCCGACATCGGGTGCGGTGACCGGTTTTCACATCGCTGAACGGTCCGGGACACAAGCGAAAGAGGGCATTAGTAAATCAGATTCCCTGTGAGACGTACACGGGTTTATTTGTGGTGCTATGGTACAAAAGCTTCAATTCGGTCTGGGCCAGTTCATCGCTGCATCATCCCTCCGATTCTCCCGTGTGATATCATGATACTGGCCAGGCCAAGGGCCGTCACCTGCGGCATACCAAGATAAGAGAACAAAGAAACAGCGGAAGCAATTTCAGTACTTACTTCGGTCGATGATATTAATCTCAGTATCGTCGTCATCGTCCTCAGCGGAGGGATCCCAGCGGTCAAGCAAAGCTGCACTGGGATTTTGCTGACGGTCTACTGAAAGATCTTTCATGAGTCTACTCATGGAATCTTCCTTCACTGCGCGCAAAGACTCCTCTCGAGCGGCCCGTGCGCGTTCAAGCTCTGGGAGATATTCACTAAGATGGATGAGAGCGAAGCAGAAGAAGTTAGGTGAGACATCAGTGGCTTGATCGGCGAATAGGTGAGTGAGGAAACGCACTTTTGATATTCAACCCTGGAGGCTTCCACTGCTTCGAAAAACTCCTTGACGCCGTCTCCCGTCACGCTCGATACTCCAACGGCCTGAAACCATGTGGGTGAGCGCAAGTAGATAGGACTGCAGGATGACTGACCGTTAAATGTTGATAGAATTCGTCCAACACCAGACTCATACTGTTCATCAAGCTGTTCATGTATGTGGGCTCTCCATCTTCGTCTGTGGTTCCTTTATGAGCGGCGAGCGCAGCTTGAAACGCCTCAAAATCGTGCATCCACTCCAGAGCGAAGTCATGCGGCTGAACATCGGTTTTGTTGAAGACAAGTATGAAGGGAAGTTTTGTCTTGTACAGTATACTAGAAGATGCGACGATCAAGAAGCTTCCGCAGCGTTCCATATAGATGTTGTACGCACCTACATGCATACAGCATATTTGACATAAATGTTGCCGGCGCCGTAGTCCTGGGAGTATCGATGATGTATGCCACAACGGTGGGCAGTGATGAAGCCACAGCGTCCGTAATAATAGCCCCAGATGCTGACCAGGTAAATATTTCTATTTGACCGGGAGTATCTAGGATAACGTAGCTACCAAAGGGTGGAATTTAGTGGTGAGTGTCTGAGATCGAGGGATTGCACGTACTCCACGGTTTCTGCTCTCTTTTCCACCAGATTCAGGACTTGATCAAACTTTGTCGTAAAGAGATTGAGCGCAGTCAAGATGCCACCGTTGGGTCCAAGGTTGTACCTTTATGGACGGCAAGGTTCGCCACAGTAAAAACGGTAGAAGTTACTTAACCGCATAAAACCAGCAGGGAGACAAAGCCACGGACTGCTTCATGACCTCTGAGTAGTTTATTGTATC